GTTGCAGCCAAAATCACACTTTCTTTCCTGAAGGAGTTGATTGTGACACATTTAATCCCCTGCACCACCTTCGCTGTGTATTATCCTATCTCTTATGTATTTTTACTATAGGGCTCACTTCTGTTCTATTTCCGGCTTCTCTGTCCTCTCACTGAACATGTTCTTTGCTGTATTCTTTTGAGCCAAAGGAAAATCGCAGCTCTCTTTTCTCTCTGCATCTGTTCAACCCTCCTCAGTAGATCCCTTCCTGCCTCCTCTTCTCTCTCCTCCATCTTTATGCAGATGGGTGGTAGCAGGGTCAGTGTTGTGAATGCAAATGAGCCCAATGCCCTTCTTCACTAGGCCACAATCTAGCTGACTACTTACTGATGCCAAATGAAATACAAATGGCTTCTTCGTGTAATGTAAATAATACAAATGTCCCCCTAGACTGTGGAGTGAGTTTTACACCCCCTCTTTATCTCTCTTGTGCCTCCTCTGCTGCTGTTCTGTCCTAACTCTCCTCTGAGGTAAGTTGCAGGGCAAGACCACTGTCCTGGTGCATTCCTCTTTCCTCAAGACACTTCTCAGGAGCCAAGATTCTTCATTTTTATTGCAGCTAGAGCAGCCATTTACCGTGCTCTTTATTAAAAACCATATTTCAGGACACAGGACACAGGAGGCATGGATAGAGCTGGAGGCAAGGGACACTATGCAGTACTGAAAGCTGTTGTGTGGAGGGGGTTGGACTAGGGCTATGTCTGACACCTTGTCAAGCAGTCAGGCCACTGCAGACATGACAGAATGCAGCTTCATCGACGCTCTGCGCTGAGGGGATGCACAGGGACGCAGGGCAGCTTGTGCTTTGACCACTGGCTCAATGAAGCGGACAGAGAGGCTGTGTAGTGAGACAGGGAGCGGTACTAGGTCACTTTGGACTGGGACAGGCCCTGCTGAATAACCCCACAAAGGGCAGAAGTCTCCACTAATCACTGAGCCATTATGTCAAGTGACCAGAAACCAGCCGGCGTGTGCACTTATTTACTCCTCTCAGATCAAACAGAGACAGGCCTATTCACTAGTGTAGGATAAAACAAAATGCCTAAATTACCCTAATCCTGATAAGAATATGGCTGGTTACAGGGAGACAGTGTCATGTTGTAAGATTGTGCCATTTAGGTATAACATCAATACACTGAGATACAGTCTCTTGAAAAAATGTATGCCCCATGATCTTTTCCACCAGTTTGTGTGAAAAACCTACAGGGTTCCTACAGGTGCTGTGGTTTCCTCCAGGTGCTCCGGTTACTGATACCACCAAAAACTTTTATAATAGGCATGTGCCTCCTGTATGGCAACCCCGCCCCCATCTCTGAATGGAGCAAGACAACAATTGTAAAGCTCTTTGTAACTCTGCTCTGTGAAAGGCGTTATATAAATAAAGATTATTTACTTACTTACTAAATAAATGTGGCATGCAGAAGTAATCAGCTCAGGGTCTTTATATACTGTAAGCTTTGCACATCTACAGACTGAATTGTTTTTCAATTCTTTTTGCTGCTCAAGATCCATCACATTAGATGGAGAGCATTTGAGAACAGCCACAGATTATTCTACCCATTTTGATTCCATCTAATCTATGTATGTAATGAGTAGTAAACTTATCCACCACTTTATCCCTGACCTGTCTGGCGGATAATGCTTCCAAAATAAATAAAACAAAATATTTCTTTGTTTGTGGCCGTGGAAGGAGAAACAAATTAGAAACAAATTCAAGGGACATGAGTACAATTTCAAGGTATTTCTTTCACACACATTTTGACATAAGAGCAAGAAAAAATAAAGAATAGACATATCCCACTCGTAGTAGTTGATTATGTACTTTATTAAAGTGATTGTCGTTTGTCAGAAAAAAGAGAGAGGAACAGGATTTGAAAAAAACGACCCAAGCTCCCTCCCCCTTCCTTTCTGATTGGCCTATGCCTACGTTTCCCTAACACATTTAAATGTTAATCTAAGAACATGCACGGAGGTTTTCAGAATTATTTGTTAACATTTTCATGACAAAAATAATGTTTTAATGCACGAAAAAAGCGATCGCTGTAAACCCGGAAGTAGCTATTAACGTTGATTGAACATTATAGGACACATCTGCAGAGGATCTGATTATGGATATAGGTTCAGTTTATAAATTATTGGCAGCCCTTGGCATCACTTGATTGGTTAACAAACGGCATCGTGGATTTCTAGCTATAGCTAAGAGAAGGGAAGGCGGGACTTACCCGTAATATTAGAATTCATAAAATGACTTATTTCATATCAACATTTAAGGCCAGGAGGTCAATTTATTACAATTCTTAAAATGTGTAATTCATTTAGAGTTCCAGACTATCACTTTAATATTAAGATTAAGAGATCCTTTATTCGTCCCACAGTGGGGAAATTTTAGTGTTGCATCACAAGTTATATAAGAGTAGGAAAGAGGATAAGATAAGATAAGATTTGCTTTATTTATCTCACATAGGAGAAATTTACATGTCACATTTGGCATGGATAGAACACTCAGATTGTGCAAAATGAAGAAATGTGCAAACATGTTACATGCAGGATATATGTACAATAAAGTGACAATAATTATGTGCAACAAAAGAGACAAGTGTCAATTGGAAACAGTGTCAATAGTAGTGCAGGTTTTCACACAGTGATCATTTAAAGTTACTTATTGTACAGTCTGACAGCGGTGGGGATAAAGGCCCTGCGGTAGCGCTCCTTCTTACACTGAGGGTGCCTCAGTCTTCCACTGAAGGAGCTCCTCAGCTCCTCTACAGTCCTGTGCAGTGGGTGGGAGGTATTGTTCATGATGGAGGTGGCTTTGGCTAGCACCCTCCTGTCCCTCACCTCCTCCACAGAGTCCAGGGAGCAGCCCAGAGTGGAGCTGGCCCTCCTGACCAGCACACAGCACTAGATAAGATAACTAAACAATACAGTAGCTATACTAATTAGAATAAAACAAAATCTCTAACTCTTGCATCAATAAAAAAGTATAAAATGTCTTGAACATAATAATTATAGTGATTCCAATTACCATTGAGAGAAACAAAAATATCTTTCAAGTCTCATATTTTAACATGAGACATCATTTTACTGAGAAGAAATCAGAGCAGGGTGCATTAGGCGATGAGGTGTGGTTTCAGAGTGATGCTAAGTAGTGGGGAATTGCTGACCGGGCTGTGGCTGACTAATGTGCCTCTCTGTCCATTACCGGTCTGTCTACCTGTCTGCCCTGAATTAACCACCATTTCGCCATATGGCAGGAAGAGCTCTCCTGAACAAGGCGCCTACTGATACTGAGGATGCTGCAAATCTATTCAGCATCGACCCTAGTCCATTTAGAAAGAAGATAAACATTTTATATCAGGAAACCATTTTCATATGCATTCATGTAGGGGTACACTGAAATGCTCCATTGTAATGGATTCTGTAGAGCTGCAGGAATGTACAACATAGGGGAAATAATGCTTAACGGCAAAATTGGGAAAATAAGATAATCAAGAATAAAGCCTGAATTAGAGCTGAAAAATTGTATAAAATACTCTAAAAACTGGAGTACTTCGAAACCACAAACAATAACAATGTAATATATGTCTCTTTCACAAATTTTCGGATGCATGTATTTTAGACCTCTTTTGATCCTTTTTTTCCAATGAAACAGAGAGCGGCAGCCCTCCCTGGCCCTCACACTAAACATCCCATAGAGCCAATCAACTCTCAGTATGTAAAAATGTATTCTAGTAACATGAAGACACTATGTTGTGGCCTGATTTGATCTTACCAAATGTGTTCAAAAATAAGACTCTTTCAAATGACAAACATAATGTATTTATGAAACAAAAATACATTTAGGTACTCAAGCTTTAATTTCATGCATATTTTATTCACAGAGCTTGCCACAACAATACACATTGTGAACGGCCCTATGCTCCCCTAATGTTTTATGCCTCCTTTGTCAATAGACACGGTCGACATTGCTTCAGTGAGGCTTCGAGCTGAATGTGAGAAACCAGCCTGTCAGCAGCACAACTTGCAGTGTAATAAACCCCTTGGCAACCCAATGCAGAGTCTTCTCTCCTCTTTTAAAGGCAAACTCCGCAATGCCTTCCCCACCGCAGCGCTGCACACACACACAAAGCTGCTGCTGGGTGGCTGCAAGGAGGACAGCAACAGATGATAAGGGCACTGTTAACATGCTTAGAGAGTACATGTAAAGCTAGGTGCTGGTGGGGGGCTCGGAAAGACAAAACGTGAGCAAGTTTTAATTACTTCCACGGCACAGAGAAAGATACAAAGCGTGGTGGTAATTGCAACGCTGATGGAGAGCTTTGCTGACAGAAACGGAAGAAGGAAAAAAAGCAAATTAATAGGATCCTTATCAGTTGAGACATACAGAGGTTGGTGCACCAGGGCGTTGCTTGGTCACCGTGATGAATGCTTTTTATTGGCCCAGGCTCATGGAGCGTTTAACAGGCGTTACCATTAAAGCTTAATGTGGAGGTTACTCTTTGACCTTGAAGAAGAAAATACAATCATATAGACCTCACATCACAAGTAATTCTTTTTTTTTTCTATATTGTTCCCCCTACTTGCATAATGTTACTTTCAATTTGGAAATCTTTCTGCAATGACATTTGGTTTAGGGCCTCACCACTGGTTTGAACAGTGATATCCTGCAATTGGTATTCGCCTTTTCTGACCAAACAGAGTGATGGCTTGATTCTGTGTATTGATTTTTTCTTTACAAAGCAGCGGCGTGTCAGGACTGATTGGGAGAAGGGTAGAGGAGAAGTGGCCTCTCGGGTCATTTACAAGGCACTCCGTGACTAGATGTTAAACACTTGAAACAGATGAGTTTGAGGTGATCTTTGAAGGAGACGCTGTAAGCATTTTGTCTCACAGTGTTGTTGCGCATTTAAAAACAGCCGATTAATGATTTTTTGTTTTGTATTTTGTTTTTCTGAATCCAGGTCCACTCACGAAGAAGCAAGATGAGGCGACACAGAACAGGCCAAGAGATGAAGGTAAAGGTTTAGTGGCTCATAAATTGCATGGCTTCTCACACACATACATACACGGCCTTATTTTAACAGCATGAATTTTCTCCCTGACAGGTGAACATAAACTAGAATCTATACACAATGCCTATTTATGTCCGACTCCTGATTAATTGCTTTTACATAATAATCTTGGTCTCGCTGCACAAATCACTTACAGGCTTTTTTTTTTCTGCAAGAGTCATATGCGCACAACACATCATTTTCACATGCTAAACTTTGGTTTGCGTCAGAGCAAAATTAATGAATGACATAAACAATAGTACACTTCATTTCTTCTTCGTTTGGAACAGAAATGGAAAGCAGTTAACAGTTTGCCTTACCACTATGCACTGGTAAGTAAGTATTATTAGTTGACAAGTTCAGGACCTACTTTGTACTATATATCCTACCTTACATGAAGGATTGCATTTTGTATACAACAATTGTATTTTATTGTCATTTATGATTTAAAAATTGTACAAGACAAAACAGGTGTTCTGTGTGCAAACTGGATACAGGCCCATATTCATTAGAGGCTAATGGAAATGTTTTTGTATCTCTTCAAATCCAGCCAGACACTGTAGGCCTCTGTCGGACGAACCACACATACTGTATAATCCATGGCCTTATGTGCACACAACAATAACACATATTTGTTTGCGTCTACTTACTCAAGCACAGTGGATGAGCATGTGCCACTTTAATTTATACCAGCATTTGTGTGTGAGCCCCTTTCCCACTCCTCATCATTTTGGGGCAATGTGTGCTATTTGGGTATTGAATTCTCTTTGCCTTGCTTCTCTAATTGCCATGGTTTAAAAAGAGACAGATGTAGCTAATCCAATTGTGCGGTTTCTTAACGGTGGAAACACAAGGAAGGATTCGCTCAGGATTGCCGACAAGGGGAGCGGAATGATGGAGCAGAGATGAAAGCTGTGGAAGAGAGAGCACAGGGGAGGGCACTGGTGGGAGAAAAGGGAAAAATAGTCATAATGAAGACAAGTGCATGATAAAATGACATTTATAGAGCTTTGAAAGTGAGAAATTTGGAGAATGACAGAGCTGAGGAGTGGAGAACTGCTGAAGTTTGACATTTATGTGGACGCCTGATGGATCTTGACAGGATCAGGAGAGCTGGTTAGGATCTGGTTTTCCTACCGTAACAGGCTGTCCGTAAAACCCCGCCCAAGTATCCACCCACCAAATATTGTTACCAATGGGAGCAGACTGCTGTCCAATCACGCTAATAAGCAGACAGTCTGGCCTTATAGGGAAAACCATAAAAATCAGTATCCTTATCAGTATTTCTGTAATTCAACTTCCAATGTGATTTTCTGGCTGTGGAAGTTGAAATATACTTTTCAAGTAAAAAACAACTTGGTTCAAAAGACATGAATCAGGTTTGTTTAACTGCTGTTGAAGTTTGTGTTTAAGGCCACCCTTCATGTGTATGTGCAGGGGCTGGAAGCACCTGTGGATGGGGTCACCTGCTAGATATTAGTGGTTTTAGACCATTAGTTCAGCTTAAAACATAATTTGTGGCACCACTTGCATGTGAAAGCCATATCCTGTCAGACCTTTGAAGCTAAGCAAGGTAGGGCCTGGTTAATACTGTGATGGTAGACCTGTGGGAACATTATTCCCAGAGGTGCACTCACAAAAAGAGATATCATTATTAATGTTATTATCATTACATTACTATTATGTGAGTAATATTTGAGTTGAACACCAGGCCACTAGTGCAGATTAAGTTCAGGACAGTAGTTTCTGGCTAGAACATTTGCTTTAGAAGTGGCATAGTATTGTGTTCAGTCCTAAAGACGATGGGCCTCCTAAAAAAAATTAAGTTGTATAGCCTTCACATTATTCTGTATTCTGTTTGAAAATGTTCATGATAGAATTATATATTTTGTGCCTAAGTAGGTTCATGAAGCAAAGAAGCACACACTTGTTACCCTCTCCATGGCCACTATGAAGGCCAAAAAAGAATGAAAGACTTTTCACTGTGAGTGTCCCCAGTTGTTAAAGCACATCTGCACATCACAATACCCTTATTGTGAAGTTATTTTGCAGTTGGCTTCAGGAAGAATCTAAAAAGAGCTTCTCATTGAGTGTGGGTTTGCGTGCGAGGACGATGGGCTGACTCAGGCAAAAACTTTTACACCCAAATCAATCTCAATTTCCATAAGAGAATGAATGAGAGATGAGCAGAGGAATGGGAGAGTATAGGACTATCTGGGTGGTAGGATATTGCATTAAGACAGAGAATACTGAGCAGAAAAGATCGAATTAGGTAGACAGAGGAGGGTAAATAATGCGCTAGTGTTGAAGAGTGAAAGATAGAAAGCTTCTGTCCGCTGCATATAGAGTTGGGATTAAGCCTTCTCCTCATCATAAGTGTGGTGTTGGAGAGACAGAGTACATGTCAAAGAGATATAAGATATACACAAAGTAACTTTCTAATATTAGCATTTGTTGAGCATTTCTTATGACTTTAAAAAAAGGGTGTTATCCATTTACACATTTATAACTACCTATACTGGTTGCCTCCCTTCTGTCCCACGGCAGCTGTGGGATCAGTCACTTATTACCACTGTGTATGGCGTGAATTAATAATGTAAAGCGTCTTTGATTGTCCAAAAGCGCCTTATAAAACCAATGCATTATTTTTATAATAGTAATGATGCAGTCGCTGGGAATTTTGGTAAAGATAGAGTTGTGTCAGCAGAATACTCATGGAGTTACAAAGGACAGAGCTCAGCTTGTAGAGGAGCTGAAAACAACTGTAGTAATGACAACTGTGGTAGAACAGCAATTTTTGGCAGATTCTACTGGAATAAAGGTCTTTGCCTCTTCTTTCTCTTTGCAATCCCTCAAATTTCAAAAGTAAGCCTTAGGTAACCTGCTGGATAACTCTACACAGGGGGTTTTGAATGGATTTTAATGGACTAAGAAAAGGCTGTTTATTTATTTATTTATTTATTTATAGGATAGGCCCCTTGAGAGGAATCATCTCGTTTACGAGGGGGTCCTCAACATTTTCACAAGGAGACAGATACAGCAAAACAGATACAAAAAAACAAAAATACAAGAAAATATTTTTTTATGGGTTGAACACCATTACCTCTGGAAACCTATCACTGTCTTTCTAGGGTTCAGCCCTGATTTCATGGGCCACATTCTGACTCTATACTGTGACAGTTAGGGGTGGGAACCTAAGGGTACCTCACGGTACGATACGATACACGATACAAAGCTCACAACAACGATAATATCACGATAACGATATCACGATAACGATTTTATCACAATATGACGATTATTGATATATTGGTCAGAAATATACAATATGCCAATTTATGGCAAAAATACAAGAAAAAATACTCTTTATTTCATGATAAATAGAATGGAGATGCGTAATGTATCCATATATAAAGTATTGATACCAATTCAAAAAAAAATCTTTTTTTTTTTTTTTCAAAATCGATATCGATACTTGGCAAATGCATATCGATAATCAAATCGCGGGAGAAAGTATCGCGATATATCGAAAAATCGATATATCGTCACACCCCTAGTGACAGTGTGAATTTAATATGGAATAATGATGGGATCAGGCAGGGCTTTTTGTTATGTTGTACTCTCCATAGCTTCTTCTGCATTGGCTGATGGTAGATGGCTTATCTGCACTTTCCCTCAATGTGAGGAAGGGAATGGGGCTATTGTACATGGGACGACCATGTACCTCTCCATACCATCTTTAACAAGAGTCTTCAGACTGGATGTGTCCCTGTCTACTGGAAAACTACCTGCCTGGTACCCGTCCTCTAGGTAGCAAGGCCAACAGGATGCAAGGACTAACATCCATCATAATGAGGACTTTTGAGGCCATGTGAGGCTAATGTTCTTTGACTTCTCCAGTGCATTTAACACCATCCAACCTCTCTGAATTTACAATTACCTCACTGTGCGGTCGCAGTAGGTCAGGTTAGGGAAAAGTGTGTCTGTGACTGTTGTGAGAAATACGGGAGCACCACAGGTATCGTTCTGGCTCCCTTCCTCTTCACAATCTACACTGCCGACTTTGCACACAACTCTGCTACATGCCGTGTACAAGGGGGGGTGAAGCAGAGTACAGGGAGGTGGTGGCTGCCTTCTCAGACAAGAGTGAGAGAAATGGTCTGATTATCAATGCATCCAAGACCAAGCAGATGATCTTTGATTTTCACAAGAGCCCTTCCCATCGACCGGTCACATGGACAGGACAAAGTGGTACAGTCATACAAATACCTAGGAGTCCACCTGGACCACAGACTAGACTGGGCAGTTCAGGCCAATGCTGTCAGAGCAGACTCTTCTTCCTGAGATGACTGAGGTGCTTTGATGAAACAGGCAGATGTTGCACATATTAGACCAGTCTGTTGAGACGTGTTCTTTGGGGTCTCGTGTTGGGGTGGCAGTCTGACCTCGAGAGACAGTAACCGGCTCGACAGGCTCATCAGGAAATGTGTCTCTGTGATGGGGAGAAGTGTGGACTCTGGGAGCTGTGCTGGAGAGAAGGGTGAGGGCTCTAATGCAGGACATATGGGTAACTCCAGACACCCTCTGCATGACATTATGGCCGCTCAGAGGAGTAATCGTAGCAATAGGCTTATATCATTGCGCTGCCGAACAGAACGTTTTAAGAGATCCTTTGTTCCTTCAGCTGTCAGACTGTACAACAGACGTGTACAAGTTAAAAAATATGCACTATTGTTGGGTAGTTTGTTAGTACTTTGATCGATAAATTATCCATCTATCTATCTATCTCTATCTAAAATCTAAAATCTAGTGTTTCTAAGGCCTTATCTGGAAATGGCCTTAGAAGTCTGATGAGTCCGTTCGCATCATGTTCTTTAAATTCCTCCAGACCTGCATAATATATATCTCTCCTCCTCTTCTTCACTTAATGTTTAATTGGCTTTCACACTATTTCTTTAGAGAGGGGTGGTGGGTCTACGGCACGGTGGCGGAGTGGATAGCACTCTCGCTTCTCAGCAAGAAGGTCCTGGGTTCGAATCCTGGTCGGAACATGGCCTTTCTGAGTGGAGTTTGCATGTTCTCCCCGTGTCTGCTTAGGTTTCCTCCGGGTGCTCTAGTTTCCCCTACCACTAAAACCACGCACAATAGGTATGAATGTGAATGGATGGTGTTGGTTGGGGGCTGATGCGCCAGTGTGTTCGGCGACTCGCTTCCGTCATCACCGTGTGTGGAATAATTGGAACAATATCTGAACTCTGAACATTGTAAAGCGCTTTGGGTGACCTTGGTCTGTAAAATGTGCTATATAAATAAACATTACTTACTTACTTAGTGGGAGTGGTTGGCTGTCCAATCGCAGATACAAGGAAGCAGCCATCTTTGCAGCCTGGCTCCATAACTTAGTTTGTGGCACTTTCCATGAGTCAAAAGTAAATTCATCATCTGATCGGTACTTTGCCCAATGCTAAGTTCCACATGTGTGTCAATACTGCAGAGGGGTAATTTTGTTTGAACCAGGTCTGTTTAGCCGCTGACGATCTTTAATGTGCTGCCATTTTGTTCCGCCGCAGATCTGACACATAACGCACACCACAACATTTCCAGCTGCATATCATAACTGCACGATTTTCTTGCGCATGCGTAGGCAGAGTTGAGTTTTTTTTTCCTGCCAAAGGGGCCCCTCTCTGTTGCACATTGTCAGCACTATGCAACAGTTAGTCTAAAACTTTGAATGGGGTTACTTAACACTATATAGTAAGCATAGTGGGTGGCACGATGGCTGAGTGGATAGCACCCTCGCCTCTCAGCAAGAAGGTCCTAGGTTCGAATCCCGGTCGGACCAGGGCCTTTCTGAGTGGAGTTTGCATGTTCTCCCCGTGTCTGCGTAGGTTTCCTCCGGGTACTCCGGTTTCTCCTACCACTAAAAATATGTACAATAGGTCTGGCATGCGCCTCCTGTACTGGTGACCCTGCTCCCATCTCTGTGTGGAGTGAGAGGACAAAATAACATTTGTAAACTGCTTTGTGACTCTGGTCTGTGAAAGGCAGTATATAAATAAACATTACTTAAAGGCACACCGCGGACTTTGTGACCTAAAGAGTTGACACATATGAGTTATTTTATATGAATACTTGGGCCAATATACAGCGCTTGACACTTGCAATGCTCCGAGCGGGGCTGCCCTCTTGAAATACCGCCCATGTAAGTTTCGAGCAGACGGACCGTCTGCCACCAGGTCACGTGACTTGGAAGAAAGACTTGCTTTACGGCTACAGGCGCTGATATACTCATGGAGCTAAGGCTTTTGCTACTCATTTTTCACCTGCTCGACTCCTGGTCATGGCTGAGGCAAGGAAAAATTTTAAACCTTCGGAGGAGGCTAAAAAGAGGAAACGCGAAAGGGATCGTGCTGTAAGCTGCATGTCTGTATGAGCGCTGCTCTTCACCTGGTTCCTGGATGTCATCGACCGCAAAGATGTCATTCCACGCAGCACGAGCTAGACGCAGAACTCCCTCATCCAGGATATAGAAGTCCATGTGTGGTAGATTACTAATGCAGCGGTCTGGAGGCTGACCACAGCAGAGTCTCTCAATATCTGTAGGCATGTCTCTACAGTTTGAACACACACACCAGTGCATGCTGTCTGAATACACACTCAAAAGACACCGGCTGACTGTTTGACTTTTGCGACAGTGCTGAGTTGCTTGTGGCCACTAGGGGCGCTAAACGTGAAAGTTGCAGGTCTAGCGCCCCTAGTGGCCAAGAGTTACACGGTGTGCCTTTAAGTCAACACTGATTTGATGTTGGTAATTTTCATTATAACATTTTTATAATTTCCTTGATCAAGAGTTTTTAAATCCCTAAAACTCACAAAGACATCCATTTTCTTCCCCTTAGTCCATTTCTGGGTCGGGGGTGGCAGTCAGCTGCACCCAATTCACATTGCACAATCATGCAGACCTTTAATTTAAATTTGACATTTCATAAAATATGTTGCTGTTACAGTGATTGTGATTTCTTGGTCATCATATCCTCAGCCTAAAATTGCACCAATTTCAACAGTTACATAGAAAAAATAATAGAATATCCTCCTGTAAGTTGATATGCATTTGTTTAGTTTTTATTTGAAAGGCCAATGCATGGAGACATTAGCTTAAAGACAGATTTACTACACCAGATTCTAGGTCAACAGCTTATTATATTTATGTATTTGTTTATTTGACAGGGACATTGCACAATAAATGTATTGTTCAGACCGAACATAGCTACGAGCTCCTTTTCACCCATAGTGCCTGGGCAGAGGCAAAGTGACATCAGGTTTACGTTCACCAATCTGATCAATCGTCCTCTGAGTGGACTGAACTCAAAGACACAACCTAAGGACACAGCAATCCCAATGGTCGTTGAGGCCTTGCTAAATTTGGTGGCTGTGGCCTACAGGAGAGGAGAGGAGAGGAGATTATAGAGCAGGGCAGTAAATATTATGTTCTTTAAAACAATCAAATATCTTTGAACATGCTCACATGCTTTAACTGTTATGTAAATTGCTTAGTATTCCATAAAGAAATTCCTGGCTTGATAAGAGACTCCTAATGATAAAAAAAGAAGCTTTGACTCAAAAGTCCTTCACCATTTTTGCAACTCTTTTTGAATCAAATGCACTGAACCATATTTTAGACAGTTACTGTGTTAAATAACCTTAATCATTTTAATGTCATTGGAAAGTAGGTTCTGTTTGTAGATCCCTGTGGATTCATTTAGTGCCATGAATACGGCAGGGGCAGTTCACGGCGACCCTCTGATATGTCACCCCTCTCTATCGTCATGGTAATGCCGGAATAATTGAACTTGTTTACATATCCTTGGGGAAATCAGCAATGGCTCTGAATCCACCACACGTCAGACACGACACAAAACCGCTACTTTTACTCTGCGTCCATGTCATACATGCCTAACATGAATGGATGGCATTGGACGTAGGCATATGTTCCGTTCATCCTGTCCGCTGTGACGAAGTGACGCACCTTACTGCATGTGTAACCTGAGATTCAGGTGGTGATGCAGGCTCCTTGTGCAAATACGTGAGTAGAATTTGTTACCAGGGCAACAGGCTTTCAGTGAGTTGGTGCGACGGAATGGCTGGTGCAGTTCTATTAGGCAGTTTCCATAGCGACTCGGCATCGCAGCTGCCTATGCAAGAGTTTGTGTGTTTGTGTGCCGCATGAATATGGTGTGTGACTCCGGTGTGAGTTGAGTGTTCATTAGCGTACCTTGCTATGTATGACTTGCTTTGTAACATTTGGTATGTTTTTCATCTTTTTTGTTTGAACCTCCCCTCCGTGTCTCTAGCCTTGCCGGTTGTCTCACGCTGGCCTATTTTCATCTGCTACCTTTTTATCTCTCTCTCCCCCTATCTCTGTCTCCTCCATCTCCGAGTGCTGAAGCTCATCAGGGTAAACAGATGCTGGGGCTGTTATTTATGTTTCCACTTGGTCTGGCTTTCATACAAATTATCCACAGGCCGTGCACAGTGCCGACGATCACCCTAACTGGGCCGCTCACTGGCAGCTCACCAAGCTCCATCCACGCACAGACAGGACAAGCTGAGCGCAGACACTGCGTGGGAGAGTAGGGGTGCTGGCGGAGACTGCCATAGCAACATAAAGATGGCTGGGACGCCAGCACGGCAGGGCAAAGGGACCTGATTCACTACAGTGTGATACATTAGGGGGTAATGACGAAAACTATGTACAGTACTTCTGGATACACTTGAAATGTGTTTGCTTAACTATCACCATGAAATTTCAGGCTTTGTATCAATTTCTACCTAAACCTAATTAGTCAAATACACAAAACACATTTTTCATTGTATGTCTTGCCTGCAAATGTAAATTATCTAAGTTATAACATCAGTGAATGAATAACTTATTATATCCTAGAAGATTTCAGACAATTACAGCAGAAGTATTGCAGCACATGCTATCTCAACAAAAGGAAACATTTTCAGCATTATTGCACATTGTTAGACTGATAGCGCTGCGGACAGTTGCTGTGTATTTTCTTTTCTTTTTTTGTCCTAAGATTGAAATGACAAGCTGTCATTTTAATCCTTAAGAGGCCTCAATGCTTTAGTACAGTACAAGGTGTTCCCCTGGTTTCAGGTTTGATAAATGTATTCCTTGTTTGTTTGTGTGCACAGATATCCGTGACCGTCGAAAGAAGCCGGTGATGCTGTTCATCCACGGAGGCTCATACATGGAGGGCTCAGGGAACATGTTTGATGGCAGTATATTGGCCGCCTATGGAAATGTCATTGTTGTCACCATGAACTACCGCCTTGGTGTGCTTGGTAAGTCACCGCCTTCAGACACTTTTAGAGAGTAGTAAATATTGGATCGCACCAGACAGCATTTCCCCAAAACATGAAAATGATTCAAATATTATACGACTAAAATTTGATAATGTGTTGCGTAGTAATATTTTGGAATGAAACCTGACATTGGGTCAATACATGCCAGAATATTGATATTATTAATATGTTGTATGTTGAAATTAACAATAACTTGAAGAACAAAGGAATGATTACATTCCATTGCACAAGAACGCACGTGTACACAATTAGGTATGTCTATTCTGAATGTTCATGTATTTTTGAGCTGTGGCAACCAATACTGACTGTTGTTAGCTCTCACGGCTGATGCAACAGATCAGAGGATGTGAGTGCTTCCCTAGTCTCTTTAGGCATTAAATATAGCTGCACATGACATACATGGATGCACAATTTATCATAAACGCACAGTAAGAGAAAATGATACACATGGATAACTCCAAATAAAACATTCATGTCACGTTATACTGTGTTTTTTTCTCTGTCCATAAAATCACTGATTGTATTCATCTCTCAATTATTAAAATACTGACCCAGCCACTCAACTAGGGCCTTTCCTTCAATCCCATAAACTAAAGTGCGAAGTTCTCCAGGGTTACTTTCTTGGCCCACTTTTATTACACAGCCCAAAAAGGGGTATTGTGATTGTTTCTGTGTTTTTTTGATTGTAGGATCACAAAAAAACTATAGGATAGATTGTAGATGTGACAATTTTACGCAATGGTAGGATGATTCATGATGTTGGTGGGTGTATGCGCTCTCCAAGTGCATGTTCTAGTTCATTATCGTTTATTGTACCTGTTGAGGATTTAGGTCTGACTTTTCACTGTTCTTTATCAGAAATATCAGTAATTCAATTCAATTTATTTTTGCATAGCTCTAAATCACAAAAACAGTTATTTCAGAGAACTTTATACAGATCTTTCTGAAGTAGATTAGACTATTGTAACAATTCTTCCCCTGAAATCAATCTAGCAGCTGCAGCTTATTCAAAATGTTGTGCCTCGTGTTCGGACCCAAACACAAAAAAGCTCTTGCATTTCCCAATTCAGGCCCGAATTGCCTCCAATATCCTTACACGTGTTTGCAAAGCCCTTCAAAGTCTGGTGTCGTATATTTCAGAACTTCTTGTGCCTTTTGAACCTGTGCCCAGTCTCATATTCTTCTTGCTGTTCCTCATGTAAAACTGAAAGTAGGAGAAGCAGCTTCCCCCAGTATGCTCATTTTGAAAGGAGCCGAATTACTGTACATCAAATGTGATCTGAAAGAATAAACCATAATTTGTTAAAAATGTCTTTCCACTTGACCTTGCGATGTCAAATTATTATTGTGGTGTGTTGAGCACATTGAGCTTCAGTTTTTTTGTTTGATATGTACATTTAATTTCAAAAGGACCTGGTAAATGCAGGTCCATTTGAACTAAAATACTTAAGGTAGGAAGGATGTTTGCTTGGTTTCCAGGACAAGCATTTCAAACTACAGTATATTGGTTTTGCACTCTGTGAATGACTGTGACTGAGCTGTCTGTCAGGTCTGAAGTGAAAGGGACAGGTTCATTGGCCTAGGTCCTCTATTCAAGACAATCACCGGACAACTGACTGTGACATTTCTTTATCTCAATTTGGCTGAAGATGATCAAAATGGCTACTAAATTTGTTACTGATACTAAGTTACAAAAAAATACGAATAGAAGAAGGTCAATTGCATAACCTAATGTGTGTGCGTGTGTGCTCATGTGAGGGAGTTTGTGCATACAGTATGGAATCAGTAAATTCCTTCTCAACTCTGTGCCTTGCATGTAGATAAAATGGTTGTGTTTCAAACCTGAGCAGGCCAGACTCAAATCACTCCAACCCAAAAGTAAAAAAATTACAAGATGACATGATAAATATTATTGTTCTCCTCATGTGAATATTTGTGCTACAATTCATATTCTTCTTATAATAATAAAAATGCGAGAGCGGCCTTTGGAAATGTCTGTATAATGCAACCGCTTCGGCACATCATTGAAGTTATGTATTTGTACTGTCAACTTTTGGAGGTGTTTACATACGCACTATCGTCGTCAGTCATTGCGGTTGCCAGGTTGGGTAATCAAATCTTGTTTATTGCATCAGGCCTGTTTCAACATATCAGAATAACGATAAACATTGAAATGAGAGTCATGCAGGATGCCGTCCAAGTGCTGTGGCGAAGGGTAATGTGATCCAGACCGTTATTGACAATGCCAGGACACACCATCAGCAAAGTGATGTGGACTGAAGCTCAATTCATGGGAGATTTGCGAAGTAATTTAGTATTTCACACAAATCCCAAGTGTCCCAAAACGTTTGAGGAGTATACATTTGTGTTCTGTTATAGAAATATATACCCCATGAAGGAGAAAACTCAAAGGTCCTTTGTCTGATCAAAAGCGTAAGTTTATTGTTAACGCACAGTGCGGAGAGTCAGCATATGCACACAAAGGCAGCATGCTCAGCTCTGGGGGCCAGAGCCCCCAGCTTCCTGTATACAAGACACACACCAAAGATAGTCACGCCCACAACGGAGCGGAGGGGGCCACCGGTGAGGAGGCGCACAGGAAGCGCCGGCGCCATCCCCTGTGGTGGCAGTGGCATGGGGTGTGAACAGACAGACAATGGTGGAAATGCAGGTCATACAGATGCAAGACGGAAAGACACAAGGGTGTGAACAGACAGCAGGGACCTTCACAAAGCTCAGCATGGCGTCAGAAGGTCGTCTGCATTGATAAAAGGCCTTTGACGTCCGTGTATTTGCTGCGGCTGGTTTTATGTAATTACTCCAAAAACTGTCACCACACTCCCCTCTTTTGATAATTCAAAACCATTTTTGCATTAATCAGTTAAATACCAGAGGCATCGTAATCACACCACCTTCAAGCTTGAAACACTTAAATTATTGCTGTCCAAAGTGGACAAGAAAAGACACATGCTTGTCAATAAAAGAAAGAGCACATTATAATAACACAATGGATCCGGACAGCGATAAGAGAAGGCAATATTAACATAATAAACACGGTCAGCACGGAAAGTAGTGTCAGTGTGGCCAGCATAACAGTCCAAGGGCCCATGCCGGTCTACGTTCGGTAGTCTTTTCCGCGGGAATACTCACGAGCAGTGCCGTCTCGCAGTCAGTGGCACCGCTCCCTATGAGCGTGTGTGGAGCGTTAGTGGTCATGGCGATGTTTGGTCTTGGAGCGGCAAGACTCTATTTGCGTTGAAGCCTTGGCCTCAGCACGGGGCTGGGGAGTTGGGCAAAGGGGGGTCGCCTCGGGAACGCTGGGAATCTCTGGGTGTTGTTGTTGGCCTGCTTCACCGATGGTGGTCGCACGCCGGCAGACCTATTCAGCGTAGGGAGCCGCGGATGGGCCTGGTCCGTCCGCGCCCTCGGTGTCCTTGTCTATGGCCCTCAGTGGCAGCACCGCACGACAGTGGTTGGCGTGGATCCAAGTTGTCCTCTCCGCGACCTTAACGGCAGTGTCCGTCACCAGGAGGGCGAGGAATGGACCGAGCCAGCGCTTGGACCGCCAATGTTGTCGTCTCGTTTCCTTCACCAGGACTCAGTCGCCTGGCAGCCTGTGGCAGGGCGCTCCTGACCTGGGAAGAAATAGAGGACAAAAGTGCATTAATTTCCTTACAATAGGACAGCATGTCGTCATCACACAAAGAGGTGCTTGGCAGATCTCTGTTCGGGGGTCCCTCGCCCAAGTTGGGTGGTCTGGCACAGAGGATTTCGAATGGGACTCTCATGCGCATGTACATGAGGGCTAGCGGCAGAGCTTTGAGTGCCATTCTCTCGCTCGCACGTGCCTCCGGACCAGGGGGCGTAACTGCAGTGTTTACGTATATCAATGCCCAGAAATTCACCCACTTCCTCAATGACTTTTGCTACAAAGTGACTGCCAGTGTCACTAGAGATTTTTTCTCGGGGCACAATTTTTGTGAGCAGAGCTTTCACCACCGCGTTGCTTGTGGCGTGTATGCCTGCAAATACTTCAGTCCATTTGGACCAGAGATCCGCCAGAACCAGACAGTATTACTTACCTTGGCATGGTGTGAGTTCAACAAAGTCCCTTTGGACATGTTGAAATGGGCGCAGGGGCGGAGGATGAGCAGCCTGTTGGATACTTTTGGGACTTACCTGGGTTGTGCGCGGGGCATATAGCGCATGTTTGGCTGAATCTCTGTGCAAATGCCGTAAACCCCTTTGTATACCAATTTTGTGTGATTAAATCACACATCATCCCTCCTTTTGAGGCATGGTCTCGACCATGTGCTAAAAATTGCAAACTGTCTGAAGAAATGCCGTGGTAGGCACGGTTTGCTGTCTGGTCCCAGCCACACACACCATGCCGTCGTTGAGCCCCATTCCCCTCCCACAGCAGCGTCTCTGCTGGAGTAGAAAATATCAACGTCTTGAGTGAGGTAGTGTGTGTGTGTGTGTGTAGAGGTGCGTATGCCGCTGCCTTCGCTGCCTTGTCCGCGCGCCGATTCCCTGCAGAGATGGGATCAGTGGCATTAGTGTGGGCCTGGCATTTGCATACAGCGATCTCTAAGGGCAACATTACAGCTTTCAGCAGACGTTCAACCTGTGTGGAATTAAGAATTGGTTTACCATCAGATTTCATAAAATTGCGGTGTTTCCACAGTGCTTTCCAGTCGTGCACCACAGAGAAACCATAGCGCGTATCACAGAATAGGTTAACAGTTTTGCCCGCTGCCAGCTCACAAGCCCCGGTGGGCGCGACCAGCTCAGCGGTTTGTGCTGAGTGGTAGTGGGGCAAACTACCAGAGTCTATAGTATCAAAATCAGAACACACAGCATAGCCGACTCGGTTCTTCCCAGTGTTGTCACGTGACACGGCTCCGTCTGTATAAAAAAAATCAAGTCAGGATTAGTCAGAGGCACCTCTTTCAGGTCTGGCCTGGGAGTGCATCTCT